AGTTTTGTCAACCCGAAGGAACGTGTGTATGTTGAAATCGCCGAGAATCTTTCTGATTGCTTCTGAAGTGCCTGATCTATATGGAATGCCAATAGAGGCTACACGGTCTTTTCTGTCATTGGGTTGTATCATTGGTTTGTTGGCCTCCAACTGGGATTATACCAGGAGTGGCGGATAATAATTGTCTTTTTATCTTTATCACAACCACTCTGCATGTGTCAACAGAAATGACGGAATCGATATCCCGAGCATTTGGACTACCCTAACATCCCTGACGCGCAATCACGACAAAGGTCACGGTGCCACTTGACCCCATCTGAGAATGGGAGTTAGTATGACGGACAACGAATCATTCAGTCCACCACACACACAGACAAACATACACACGATGAAATATCCGTTAACTTGTGATCCTTTCCTCTGAGTCATTTGATTGTAAAACCTGCCTTGAGAAAGGTTACCCACGGTAACCGAAACGGCGAATATAATTCTCTACCAACGTCGCGGTGTTGTTAACACTATAACATTCACAATGAAACACTCTTTCTTTTAAATCAAGGCTAAAAGCAGAAAGTTAACATAATCAGCTCGGAAGAGTGTAATCGATCGCAAATGAAAGCATGCGGTCTTTGGGAATGGCTAGTTTCCTAAACCAGTATGTATGAAAACACAGTATGGGATCCTTCGTGCAAAGAATTCTGGCCTGAGTAGATCACGAAAGGTTGTAGATGAGAAATTGACTTCATGGTATTTTATACAATCGGGTTTGAGAATACTTGGATTATTAACAACAACCTCAGGAAGACCAATTGGCAAAGTAAGATCACAAGGACTAGTTTTGTGACTGAAGAAAACACCAGAGCCCTTGCTGGTTTTTATGAAAACGGAGCGGGGCAAGGATTAGTCCAAAAGTTCGAAAGCGATGTTTTGGAACGGACGGCAACCGTCTTGAGGTGTCCCTAAAGCATCGGCATCCTTGCAGGCAATAAAATATAAGAATGATTATAGAAAAAGAACCCCAAAACCAGCAGAATCCATGTTGACAGAAGAAGACCAGTAAATGAAGGCCCTACGGAAGAAGCTTCAGATTCAAGAATTCGAAACTTTCGGTCTCAAATGACACTCTTGGGTCGAGAGAGAACCAAAGGCGATCATGCGGCATCTCAATCCCTAATCGAGGGTTCAAGCACACACCCCTCCCAGGGGTGACCTATTGGCAGTTCATGGAGTTAGCTTAATCGTATTGGACATACTTTCTCCTCGAATCGCGTTGCATCACTAACGTCATCTCGTTTCTAGGTTTCCACTGAACTTTATTTTCTGACATTTTATTCTGATATTGCTTGATCGGGGAGTAAGTAACCTCATAACGTGAAACACACGGCAGGAGTCGATCCATCTGTTTCTCTGTAGTACATGTGGATAAACACCCTAGGTATTGAAACTGGGGGAATTTTTCTACGAGACAGTGAACCACTAGATATCAGCAAATTTTCCATAGCCATGCTTCCCTCACCCTCTCCCGGAAGTCCAGTATATACACATCTGGGAAACCCTAATTCGGTTGCAGTATCAATCCTGAATATCAGCATAAAATAGTAGATGTACAATCAGCATAAAGTGTAACGATATTAAAAGTTCTTGATATGCACTGATTTTATAGTTACAGAGAGATTCTGGAGAATTGTTTCAAGCCCGTCAAGAACGCTGGGAAAAATGTGCCCCAAGGAAATTAGTGTTTTTTGCTCAGATTGAAATTCCGGTTGCTGTACTTCCCTCAAGTAAGAAGTTCAGCAGTTATATTCATCTGTAATGCACAAACCGAATATATTCAATCGATCCATCAATAGAAACTTACCATTTCAACCCATCCGTCTTGAATAACCGTGTTGAATATCTACACGTATCCAGAGAAACCAACAGAAACAACAGGAAGTAGTGATGAACCAAATGAAAATGGATCAAATTATATAGAAGTCACATCATCGTTATGTACACCCAAAAGGGGCAGAGATAGTGAGAACACAATGGTCACATAAACAGCACCACCATCAACAACCGTACGCCTAAAAATTATAGAAAATTATCCTCTATACAGGTAATTAAAATCAACCGGATGGTGAACCTTGACTGTAGCCAAAAAAGGCACATGAGTTACCCTCAGGTTTTCAAAGACGTCGTGTAAAGCAAGACATTACTGACCACCGTGTAGGCATTACTATTGACGCAAATGGTTCGAAAAAGAATGAGGAGAAGCTATGGTCTATCTTTCAGTATACCAATGTTGAGAATGTTTGATAAATAAAAGTTAATCTTCAAGGGTCACAGGGAACTCAGGGAGTTAGGAACCACGCGTGGACAAACGCCCTGTAGTTGTTTGAGTTGAAGACATACTGAGACTTTGCTAGTTTTTACAAGCATTCAGGACCGGATACCTACTACTTCAGAATCTTCCACTGTTGCGGGTTGATTGCTAATTCGCTTGCTTATAGAAAGAAGTAAGCCATGTCTACCGTCAGCTCACCATGAAAATAACGTGTCACCAAAAGTGAGTAAACGGATGGTTTTGAGGAATGTTGAGATTGTAATCCATTAATTATATGAAAACTTTGTTAAGGTTCACTGGTTGATTAGAATAAGGGATGGAACGCGCACCGAAACACGTGCCACCAACGACTAGCGTAAACAGTCACTCATCATCATCATCATCATCGTAAAGCGAACTTCACTGACCGCTGCCAAACTCACAATGCATACAAGTTTATTGGTAAAATTTAAGGTGGACAGGGGTTGGATCTATTTTGATGAAGGGAGAAGAAGATGATCCACTATGGCCAACACACAGAGTACGCTATCGAACCCCGCATACATACCGTTTCAAGCATTCTGACCTGATAAGAAACGACAACAAGAACGCCACTGCTGCCGGTTCGCTGCCGTATCCTTCAGTGTCTCCAACCAACCAGTTGTGGAGTCTTTCGGACCCCAACCTGGAAGGCGAGAGACACCTACTCTACCTAATGGCTCTGTGCATTTCTTCATGCCTCGCTTCCACGTCATTTGTTGACCTCCACGTGGTTTCCTCCAGCCCGGATTAGCTATAGCGAATAAAGTGCGGTGCGGCAGACGATGGCTGGGCATACGCAATATGTGCCCTAGCCAGCAAAGCCTAGTAATCTGAATTCGGTATGCTAGCAGGTTTACCGAATTCAGTCACTGAAGTGAGATAGATGGGAAAGGAATTAGGAAATAGGGTGGAACCTTGAATATCAGGTTAAAGTCTTACCATGCTATTCGAAATTCGTAAAGTCCCTAACTGTTGAGGATAGATAAACACCAAAGAAGTTTATTACCAGTATAAACATCTTGACAGGTTGGCATTCTATCAGGAGTTATATGATTTTCGTTACGCAAAAAACGTTTTAATGAATCTTTTTGCGCTGAGCTGTCAGTTTGAAACCAGTTTAGATCACATTCACAGCCATCACAAGTGTCTTCGTAAATGGAACTTTTATTATTGAAAACACAACTGCAGTAGATATAACAGGTCGAAAATTCACCTTCTCAAGGTTTTTGCACTTGGCGATGTAACTTATGTGCAAGAATATTGACAAATGACCTGCAAGATTGCAAGCTGAGTCCCAGCAGAGACACAATGAGAGTCCATTAAACTGATGATTTTCATCAATTACACATTAGTTGACAAGCATCGTAACTAAAAAAATCATGACCTTTTATTTTAATCTGCTAGAAATAATTAGCTTTCTTCGAACCTACCCTATATTTGTAGCTCATATATAGATATGTTCTATGCCAATCAAATCTCTGAAAGTTTTTTTGTGTCATCTGACTATTTTAACGGATTTTCTGTGAACCGGTGTGGCAAGTACCAAAGAGACGGACTAAAACCAGCATGGCGTACCATCGCTCATCGAAAAGGTGGAATTAAAAAGTGAACGCTCCAGTCAGTAGAGTTTGTTTTATTCCGGTTCGTTAACTTTTCTTTACATAACAAGCAGAGAACTTGTAACTTGTAAATTATTAATTATGGAAGTGATTATTTAGATCCACGGACAGGATATGTTTAGGATAGACTAAAAAAATCCTAAAAGCAACACTTAACCTAAGAGAATAATGAATTGCTAAACCCGGCCAAAAATCAAATAGGGTGAACGTAATTAGCCCTAGTCATCCCGTGGATAGATGTTGAAAGTTCATTTCGGGTCATTTCGCAAGTTGCAGGGACAAACGCGAGTAATTGCGTTGCACACACATGAAAGGGACTATCATTTATTAACATCATCCTGAGTTAGTTCGACATAGACGGCTTTTCCACCCCACCCCCTCGGTATTAGTTGTGGTTCTATTGGATTTCATTCTTTGGACGGTGCAACTGATCAGAGGAAAATTCTTCAAGTAGCGGTTTTTGAACCAATGGTGTGCAAATCATTTTTATCTCATTCGGGCTTTTGTGTTGTCTAGCCCAGTACAGCTGGACAGTGCTAGAGTATTTTGTGCGCAACAGTGGGTGGTCAATAAAAGTTTTCTTGGACTATATTAAATATCCAAGTGAAAAACGTAATAAAACTATGAATATTCATACTTCTTCCGTATCATTCCCCCCAAAGTACGTTCAGCAATAAGACAATTGATAGGAAATAAGGGAAGAAAAGCTCATGGCCTAGATAACTTTGCACTGAATAGAATCGGGCCCCAAACTTCCTGACTTCAAGGAACTCGACGAAACAAGGTCAAAATTTCTGAATGAATAACGATTTGTAAACGAAATGATGATTTGTGATTGCCACAAAGGAAAGGCGAAGGTGGGTTTCAGCATTTACTAGGTTAATCGCGCTAACCCTGGGTTCTATTTATCTGTTATTCACTCAAACTTTATTTATTCCAGAATTTTACTTTGCCTTTGAAATATCACAATGCAGCTTCCGAGCACGTAATTATACTCATGCATACGCTTCTATGTGTGAAACGTCTCCGTGTATCAATTCAAAATACATTGTTGCTACTGGTATATTTCTGTGATCGTTGTACCTGTTTCGTGTAGAATAGAAAATGAATTAAACATCGTCACCTGAGTCGACAACATTTCATCATTCGCTATGAATGATAAACAAATCAACCAATGAATCATCCAAACCGTATATATATGCGCATCTGCCAAGTGTCCAGCCCGTTTTCCTCTGGGCTATAATTAACATATGTAAATGATCGGATTCATTGTGCTTAAAACACGACCCACCATTGACGCGGTCTTTGAAATCGGTCGCGCGGTCCGTTACGTCGTCGGACTTGGAACTACATAATCACTCTTCACTGGATTTAACTGGGATATACGTTCCTTGTTGCCATAGAAACGTTATGCGCTTATGTTCATCCCGAATTCTACGAAATACTCTGCCGTTTTCATGAAGGAACTCTAAATTCCCGACCACTGGATTTTACCTTCTTTTGGCAAATGGGTTCGTAACAGAGTGCAGAGAATTAACGGAAATCACAAAAGATTTAACCAGAAAATATCGAGCTGGATGGCGGGTCGCACTACNACTACGCAAACGATCAGTTTCCGACATCTGCATTCCAGCAGTCATCAGTGAAAATGTGCACTCCCTGCTTGATAAAATGGCAGAATTAATAGATCTGACAAGGAGACGTGAATATCCTAATGTTGAAGTCGTAATGCTTGGCCACTAAGGGAACAGGATAAAAATAGATTGACGGTGTTGGAACACCGCTGTCTACGTAGCATTGCACGTGTCTGGTGGGGTAACCGGACTAGCCATGCTAAGGTTAGGCGTAGAATTTCAGGCACTCGCGGTCGTCCACTGGAACAAGTGATCGACCTCCATAGATTACGCTGGTTGGGACATGTGTTACA